CCTAGTGAGGAGCCCTGGAGAATGAAGGACTGTGAAGACCTCACATGAAAGGGATGCTCCCTCATGGGCGAAAAGCCTAAAGGGACATTCAGAGCTTTAAGTAGCCTTGTTCTGGAGCGAGTGAAGTTACCACTGTGCAAAGAAGGACCCCATGGCCCCTGACTCTCCGCAGATAGCAACTTGCAGAAGAGTAACTTGAGTTCTGCTCAGACACCGAGGGGCTGTGCACCCCACGTACACAGTTGGGCCAGTGTTTATCCATCTAAGCCCCTGCCTTGCTGGGCAAAGCGGACGTGGAACCTGCTCAGGGACTGAGCACCAAAGGGCCAAGCAGATGGGTCTGGCTGAAGTTCTATGGAAAGCCATTCAGCACATTGGGCCAGCTCCAGCCATTGAAACTGAACCTGGATATCCCATGGGCAAGCTGGGCCCCCTAAAGATTCTCCAGGAAAATGTAGGAGCATGGGAAGGCAATGCAAGGGAGGTGCCGTGTCACAGGACCACTGAAGAAGGATCCTGTGGCCTCCTACGCTAGGAAAAAACTGCAGGACCATCGGGCACACCAGAGGCCCACATGGGAAGCTGCATCATGGGGTCATACTAGAGTTACACAGATTCTGTAATCCTAAAATCCTCATACAAGCCCCGTAGCAGTGAACATCCACTGCCTGGGCCACGGGAAAACCAAATGAAACTTTAAAGGGGGGCTGGGAGGCCGGGGGGGGGGGGGTGGGGCACGATATTGTTGTCAACCCTTTCAGCACATTTCCTCCTAAAACCTCCCACCTCGAGAAGCAGCCAGGACTCCAGGGCAACAAGGTGCCTGGCAATGAAGTTTTTCCAGAGGTTTCAGTAAAACTGGGTTGTCTAGCCAGAGGCCCCCGTGGGGTCCTGGTGCCTCAATCACAAGTCCTGGCTTTTGGTTGAAGGGGTGGGCCAGCTGCAGGATGCTGGCAGGCCATGGTCCTTCCACCTGCCCTCGCGGAGAGCCTTGTCAGCTGGCCACCTGCGTACCAGCATCATGGAGAGCACAAAGCCAGCAAGCCTGGCTCTAGCTGTTGGTGTTAGGGGCTGGAAATCATTAAAATTTACATGGTTTTTAACCCGCAAATACCACTTCTAGAAATCTACCTGAAAGATGAATCCACAATAATACAAAATATACAAATTGCCATCACTTCCTGGCAGCGGTGCTTATTCAAACACAGAAAACAACACAAAGTTCCTAGACAGAAGGGCAGCTGGCCAAAACCATGGTCTTCACAACAGAGTCTACCCAGCCATAATCCAATGCCAGTATATCTCTGCCTGGGATTTAGTTTGGTATGTCCAGCATGTTTATTCTCCATGTGCACAAGAAAAACGATTGGCTTTGTCCTGTCCTGCACAGGGCCCTAAAGCCCCCTGGAATGCCCTTGGTGTCGAGGAGAGGGTCTTGGTTATTCCTAACAGCCCACTTGACCACGAAAACTCAAAGCCGAAAGCTTGTGCCAATGAGGTGACTCAGGTTGAGCCCCTTCATGGTTTCACGGCATGGTCACCAGGAAGAGCCCGAAAGTGAAGTAGAGGTGGAAGCCCAGCCCCCGCTCGTGCAAGGCCAGGAGGGAGTGCTGTCCAAGGACATTGCAAGTGTTGTCCCATCCCCACCCAACCCCGTAGATGCCCTCGCCCTGTGTGCCTCTTGCAAGGTGACCAGGGGCTATTGCTTAGACTCAAACTCCTGCCGCTAGGCCCAAAACCACCAACCAATCTGAATGGAGTCTGTTAACCTGCCTAGAAACCAGGAGATTACAGACAAGTTCCAAACAGTGTTTCAGGAGTGGGGGGGGGGGGGGGGGGGGGGGGTGGGGGGGGGGGGGGGGGGGGGTGGGGGGGGGGGGGGGGGGGGGGTGGGGGGGGGGGGGGGGGGGGGGGGGGGGGGGGGGGGGGGGGGGGGGGGGGGGGGGGGGGGGGGGGGGGGGGGGGGGGGGGGGGGGGGGGGGGGGGGGGGGGGGGTGGGGGCGGGGGGGCAGGATGCCAGTTCCTTCCGTGTAACAAGTTTTATTTGGAGCCTTCCCTAATCCTTTCTGCTGAATAGAAGCTCTTTCTCACATCCCAAATAACCAGCTCAGAAGAGTAAAATCCACAGTGAGATTCCCACTGGAGGTGGGAAGACCCCTCTGCCCAGAGCATGGACTCCCTGCCCACTGTCTCTCTGGATTCCCATTTTTTTTCCCGTAAAAGTTCTTTGTGCCCTAAAATTCCTGGATAGTAATTTCAGGCAGAGTCTCCTTGGGGAATCTCCTCTGTCTTCTGCAGGACCAGCTTTGAATACACAAACCTGTTTCCTTCCACAGCTTCTGGCTCCCAGGTTTTTAGTTGAGCTACAAGCAGTTCTGATGTCAGAGTCCTGACTTTCAAGTAACAAGTAGGCTATCTTTCTGTTGTCTTGTCCCCACCCTACCAGGGAAGGAACTTTGCAATGGCAGCTGAGCTTCCCTAAGCCCTTCTCTGTCTATAAAGCCAACATGTCTGCCCAGCTTCTGAACATGCCTGATTTGGGGGATCAAGGATTGCCAGATTCTGGAATCACAATAAAGCCAATTAAGATCCTTACTAAATTTGCTGTGATTTTGTCTTTTGACACAAGTAAAGTACTCTCCCTAGCTCCACCACTCTGCTAGGGCACTATCAAGCCTGACAAAGGATCTAGGAGTGCCTGAATCTGTAGCCAAGAGCTGGCCAAGAGCAGGTGGCCCGGGAGCCAGGCTTCTGCCCTGCGTGGGAAAGGGCATCCAGCAGGACAAGCCCAGAACCTGTAGGTACGCACTGACTCAGACAGTCAGTGTCAGGACAGATATGAAGTGCAGGACTCCAATTAGTGTTGGAGAGTTAGCATTTGTTGGTGTGGAAAAAAACCTCAGTGAAAATACAGAAATAAGAAGAGACAAAGGAAAGCTACACCAGAAACTAATAAGATCAATTTTCATTAGGGTGTGATGGGGTGGGCAAAAGGAGGTGTCTCACCTTTGTGGAGCATGTTAACATGTACGTGTCAAGGTTTCACATACCCAAAAGTATTAGAATATGGGGTGGGGGTGTGGCTCAGTGTGAGACCCTGGGTTCTATCCCCAGCACCACAAAACAATAATGGTAACGATAATAATAAAATCCACAAAATGGGAAGGGGCCCTAAAATGTAGTATAATTGGTAATAAACCTCTAATTGTATTTCAAGTGAATGACATAACCACACTGATGTGGAAAAAGAAGTAACCCAAGTGACCTTTGAGCATGCCTACATACCCTAAGATTAGAAACTAGGAGAATGCTAACCAAATCCAGGACTCTAGTGTGGAGGTTTGTTGTAGTCCTGGCTTGGGTTATTTCAATGTATTCTAAGATGGAACAGATTAACACATGAAGGTCAATAGGAACTGTTTTCTCGGAGAAAGGAATTATAAGTATAGCAAGAGAGACTGGAAAGAAATGGAGGGTCTACATTGGATTAGAAGTGTCACTATGAACCCAGGGAGACTTCACATGTGTGTGCCTGCGTGCACAGAGCCATACAGGGTGTGCGTCTTTTCCCCAGCTTCACATCCACTGAGCGCCCGGAAGCAACACGTACACACAGTGCCCGGATATAGAGGTGACCCCCTGCTCTCAGCCAAGTTATTGGGCTCCCCCAGTGACTCAGACCTGGTGTGGGGCCCACAACCATTGATACTGAGTACCCTCATGCTGTATGCCTCCCCTGCTCCTCCCGCCCCTTGGAACTGCTTGAGCAACACAGGCTCTGTTATGGCCCCCATGGTTCCCAGGTCTGAGCTCACCTCCCACTAGGTTCGGTGTTTGGACCCCAGATGGAAACAGGGAATAGGTGCTGGAATAGGGGGAGTGGAGGGAGAGGGGATGGACCTAGTCCACCCTGGCAGAGAACAAAACTGAGGTCCAGCAGAGCAAGGGCTCCTGGACACTCCCATGGACCTCTCCTCTGGGTCGTTCAGAATGCTCGCTCCCTGTCTAGTTCCTAAAAGGAGATGTCAGTGCTGGGGAACATTGGGCATGAGGTCCTCCCAGATCACAGGAGCCACATTACAGTCCTGAAAGGCTCAGCCCCCTCAAGGGCAGCATTCACCTTCATTAAGTCATCCATGCCTGAGGGAGACCTGTCTGGGGCAGGAACCCAATGCAGGAACACCCAGAACCAGGAGAACAGGACACTGCTGCCGGATGGGGTGGCTCAGGGACCAGGTCCAGCACCAAGCTGATGCAGCAGAGCCCAGGACTGGGGCTGTGGTCAGGGACCATCCTAGGCTCCCCTGGGTGGCCCTGGGGGTGGAGGTGGGGGTGGGGGCAACTAGACCAGAACAAAGTCCCTGTTACCAAATAGGCCGGGCTTGTAGGGAGCAGGGAGCCTTGTCATCAATGAGCACCCCTGTTCCCTTGCTTAGGCCTGCAAGCAGGATCCCTCGGGGTACATGATGCCGGGTGCTCTCTTACATGGGGGCAGCAGTCGAGGACACGCAGGAGAAAGGAAGACTCAGTTAGATGTGAATCTTTACTTACAGAAAAGCGACAGAGCCAGAGGCCCACCGGGAGTGGGGGCTTCAGCGGGGTGCCTGGGGGCAGGGGCACAAACACCGGGAGTGGGGAAGCATGGCGCGAGGACGCGCTGGTCACAGGAGCTGGCAGGGGACGCTGCAAAGACATAGGGGGCCGGGGCTCAGCGGGCCGCTGGACAGGGCATCGTGCAGGAACCTAGCCACCCCCACTGGGCAGGAAGAAGAGCTAGGCGGCGGGGACCCCAGTTTTCTTCCCGGGCTCCCTGCACCCCCACAGGGCTCAAATGCTGGGATGGCCTGTGTGGAAGGGCGCGTCCTTGGGTCAGGTTCTGGCTGGGGGTCCCAGGATGCAAAGGGCAGGCACAGAAAAGGAGGCCGCCATGTGGCGCTGGCCAGACCCCCCCCCTCCAGCGGGGGACACACCTACCCAAGCGGGTCTGGCAGGGCGCGGCGGTCACTGCGGGGGCGCCGGGGACGGCGCGCTGCCCGCCACCTTCCGCGCCTCCTCCTCCTTCTCTCCCTTGGCCGAGGGCTTCCCGGGGGGCTCGGTGCCCGCGGCCCCCGCCGCCGCCGCCGCCGTCGAGGTGGGGCTCTTGTGTCCTTCCTTGGGGGCGCGATAGTTGTCCCCCCAGGGCAGGGGCACATCCGTGCCGTGCTTGCGGCTCAGCGGGTAGGCCCCGATGGCCGCCAGGATGCTGCGGTGCCGCTCGGGGTCCATCTCTGTGTAGTACATCTCCAGGGTCAGAGGTGTGCAAATCTTGTGCTGCGGGAGGGACCGGTCAGAGGCCGGCTTGGGGGTGAGGGTGGAAGGAGGAGTTGGGGATGCAGTTCAAGCCAGGCTCAAAGCCCGAGGCTCTGTCCTGGGTGAAGGGCAGAGGCTCCCAGTGAGAAATGTGCCCCAAACCACGCTGGGTGGACCCGTGGGAAGGGCAGCCAGGACTTGGGGCTCCTGTGGGGCACTTCCATCACAGAGAGAATGGGACTAAGGAACAAGAGACATTACTTCTGAAAAATGAAGGGTTCTAGAAAAAATACGTGAACTATTGAGATAGAAAAAGATGGAAAAAATATTTGCTAAATATGCAGAAAATGTTAATATCCATACTACATCAAAAACTTTTCACAAGTCACTAAGGTAAAGATAAGTGACCGGATAGAGAAATCTGCCTCCTGCAGGAGAGGCACCACCCAGGAAGCTAGAAAAACTGGGGACACTTTAGTACTGCCTGCACCTCCTTCCCCAAGCTTTGTTAATTACAATAACACTTCTTAATAAGCCACTTTTTCTCAGAAACTTCCGAGACAAGATATCAGAGTGTTTGGGTAGTAAGAGACACCCTTGTCACCCAGGAGGACACCCACTGATGGAGAGGGAGGCACTGCTTCCCTGATGCTCCCACAGAAAGCCCTCCACCTGCTCTGCCCACTGCCTAGAGGCCATGAGAGGACTAGGGGGGTCTCTACTGCCCTTCTGCACAGGCCCATAGCCCACTGGGCCTTACCCGAAGCAGGAAGCCATCCGGGCAGGTGAACTGGTCGTACCAGATAGCCTTGTACATGATCAGCACACATCCGAGGAGTGCCATGGCAAAGGCAATCATCCTCGCTGTGGGCAGCTAGCAGAGAGAAAGGAGATGGACTCTGGTTAGTGTGGGCATCGAGTTAAGTTCAGGCAAGCCTCCTGTGGAAGGTTCCTCAAAGCTGGAGCTGGGCACGGGACCACTGCCCATGTCTGATTCCCTCATAGAAGCCAGCCCTATGGCCAAAGGTTTAGGAACCACTCCTGGGCCTTGACCTTCCTGGGGGCTCCTCCACTGAAATTTGGAAACACCTGTAATCAGGTAAATTACATGGGGCCTTTGACCCAGCTGGTGCTGTAGAAATTTGTCTTGCACCTTCTCTCTCCACATAGCACCCACAGAGGCTGGCAGCTAGAATGGAATGGGGTCCTGGGTCCTGGGAGCATCTCCAGGGCTCCCAGAAGGGAGGGTGTGCTAGGACCATGCTGAATAGACTCGTAGAAAGGGCAGTGAAGCCCGAGAGCCTCTAGGGAGCGTTTCCACTGAAGAACCGGTGGAGTTAATGCAAAGGGGGCAGATGGTACTTCTGCCCCCTAAAATGAAAGACTTTAAAGTAGTCCATTAAAAATGACTATTAAACCACTGTTAGAAAAGCTAAGATGCTGAAAGATGATGAGAGGATAATTCCCAGATGCACTGCAGAAAAGTTAACATCCATGTTACACAGAAATCCCACAGGTCACTAAAGACAATGGCCCACCAGGGAAACTGGGCTTCCCAGAAGAACCCACAGCAGGGGCTCAGGCGTGCAGCACTCTTGGAGCAGCTCAGGGTCAGCCAGCGCTGACTGTGGCCTCTGAATGGGATGGCCCCTCACCCAGCTCTCCTCTCAAGGAGACCCAAGAAGTACCCAGCCAGACCAAAACCTAGGCACCTGTGCTGTCCTTCCACCTGCTCCCCCTGCCTGACTCCCCAAAAAGAGGTGGTGCGGTTACCCTGCGCCCTTCCTCTGGGTGGCCGCAGGCCAGCCTCTGGCCCTCCAGGTCTGAGAACTTCTTCGGCTGGCCCGGGGAAGACAGCTGGTATTCCGTCTGTGTCTTGATGACCACCTGAGGAAACAGTTAGCCATGACCTTTCTGGGCATCTGGCAAGGACTCAGGAGAGGCCTCAACTGAGAGGACCGGGAACTGTGGTCCACTATGTGGGCAGCAGTGTGGACACTGGCCATCTTCCAGGACCACCTGGTGGTCAGCAGAGCTCCAGCAGCTCCAAGTTGAAGCAAAGGGAAGGTGGATACTGTGAGTCTGTTAGTGGCCATGAAATTCTGGGTCCTGGCCAGGTCATTGCCAGAGCCCCTCACTCTGCCAGCTGTCTTCTACTCTGAGGGTGTTGGCTCTCCTGCCACGAGATTCTCCTTCAATGGCTCCACCAAGTGGCTCCCTCCTCCAGGAAGCCTGTCCTGACTTCTCTGCTGGCTCCCAGAGTCTTGGGGCTCTTAAGTTCTGTTCTCTCAAGGGGCAAGGGCTGGGCCTGCTTATAGTGTCCACTGCAGTAGTGGATACAGCTGGAGCCCACCCATATTGCTGGACAGTGCCTGGGAGTGCCTGGACAGTGTCTGCAGTGCCTGGGAGGCCTCCACTAATTGCTGGTACAACTCTTGGTGTCCTTCATGCTCAGAGCTCCTGGGGAATCAGCCTGAACTAGCCTTGAGCTGGGCTTTTTGCTTCTCATCAGTTTCTACTGAAGGCCTGCTGGTCATTGGTCACCTGCCCAATAACTCCCATCTCAGGCTACAATTCAGAGCAATGCCCAGCAGAGAAAGGATAGGAACTATGGCTTGCTGGTCCCTGCTACATGGCATCATGGACTGGGTACTCAGATTCTCAGGCATCCTGTAACCAGTTTACCCTGCTTCGATAGGGAGAAGGTCAGTTCTGGATGTGAGAGCCTTTATCACAGGAGCCTGTGGTCAGCTGGGGTTTCTGCCCAGTCTAGACCTTTCCTTCTGTACCTTGGAGAAGGCCACATCTACATAAATTTTACCCACACCCCTTTGTTCCCAAGCTGCTCACCTGATCAGCGAATGGTGGTTGGAGCTGGCTGACATCCAGGGGGCTGATCAGAGGGACACTGTCCATGGCGGCGCCATCCTGGTCCCCAGGGTCTTTGCCTGGCTTCCCCGAGAAGCTGCAGCCCAGCTTCACCATGGTGGACAGTGGTCCTAGTCCTGGTCCAGAGACAGAGACAGGGTCACTGCCCATAGGCTACTCTTTGGACAGCCATTCCAGCAGACCCTGGAGTGAGGAACGTGGGCTGGTACCAATGTTCCTCAGACCAGAGTCAGGGTGGGCTGTGTGTGGTCCAGCCAAAGGCTTCTAGTCCCTTCTTTACCCGCTAGGCCTCTCAGCAGTGCAGCATGGTGCCCCTGGCCAGGGACTGCCCAGACACAGAACTGAGGAATCTTCCACCTGCCTGCCTGCTCTGGAGGACATTCTAAGGGTAGCTGTGCTTTAAAAGGACAAGAGCCACAGAGCAGTCAGGAGAGTTGGGCAGCCCAACTCAGCAAATAAAAACAGGAGGCCCCGATAAACTTGAATTTATGTTATCCAATTAATACTTTTTAGTATAAGTACATCCCATGCAATATGCAATATGGGATATGTCCATACTAAAATGTCATTCATTGTCAAGCTGAAATTCAAATGTAACTGGGTGTCCTGTGTTTCTTCTGGCTGCCGTGATGGTGAAGCCGGAAGTGAGAAAGCTATGGAAAGAGGGTATCCAAGGCTACCCAGACAATTCTGGTGCAAAGCTCAATCTTAGTGGTACAGGCCTCCTGGAGTTCTGAAATTCTCCAACAGGAGTCTTCATCAACATGGAGACCCCCATGTGGCCTGGAGGAGGGTGCAGGTCCACTAACTCTGTATAGGTTAAGGGCACAAGTTTTCACCTCTAGACTGACCTTGGGGAGAACAGGAATGTGGCCAGTGACCTCCAAGCAAATGGAAAAAAGTAGGAAAACACAGTAATCCAGAGAAGAAGAGGCCCTGTGTCTGATAAGAAATCAAATCTATCATTAAAACCGTCTCACAAACTCCAAGCCCAGACAACATCACGACAATCTACAAGTCAGTGAAGGAGGAAACAATTCAAATGTACAAAACTTCAGAGAAAGAGCAAGAGACCCTTGCCAGCTCTGAGGACAGCACACCCTCTACCCCACAGCCCAGCAAGGATGACCAGAGAGGAAGTCGCAGGTCAGTCCTACCTGCAGACAGCAGAGCCCAGATTAAAGTCGGGCAGGCCTACTCCAGCAAGATGTAAAAACATGATGCATCACAAGAGGCTGGGTGTATTCCAGATATGAAATTTGGTTTAACATTTTTTGCCCGGACTGGTCTTGAACCTCAGTCCTCCCAATTTCAGCCTCCCAAGTAGCCAGGTGGCATAAGCCACCAGCACCAGGCTAAAAATTAATTTTTGAAAGATCTACAATTTTCTATTTAAATATTATTGAAAATATCAACTGCTCAGGAGAATCAGTATATTCCAACCAAAATCCCTACAGTTTTTTTTATGAACTTGATAAACACTGAAATTTTATGTGGAGGGTAGAGGGACAGGAAAACACAGATATGGTGACAAAGAATGAGGGAGGTCCATCTGCCAGGTGCCTGTCTTGTAGACAGCAGTGGAAGCCTAGTTAGTGGTGCTGATGTATGGCAGAGAGAAATCCACGTGACACACCCTACATACTAGGACCTGTGTACAGCAGAGGTTCTGCTGCTCACAGGTGCAAGGTCACCTCTCAATTAACCAGAGTCCACTCAGGAGGTGATCCCTACCTCATTCTACACACACAGAGGAGTCTGCTCCAGGTGCAAAGATCACAAAGCACCTCAGAGATAATGCAGGAGAGTATTTTTCTGGTCCCAGGAAATAAAAAAATTTCTTTAACAAGATAAAGAAGCATTACTCATAAAAGGAAATATTAATAAAATGACTACATTGAAATTCCGAACTTTTGCTTATCTGGAAGCAGAAACCAAAACTGGGAGCTATTTGCAATGCACAAGTGACAAGGGTTATTGTGAATTGAAAAATTTCCTGTGAAAGAGATCTTATTCAAAATAGGATCTTTATAGGTATAACAGAGTTAAAAATGAGGTCATATGGGATTAGGGTGGGCTCTAATCCAATGTCAGCATCCTTAAAAAAAGCCGGAGGTTTGGGCACAAGAGGAATGCCTTGTGCATACAGAAGCAGAGACTGGAGTCACGAATGCCCAGGGCTGCTAGAAGCAGGAGGAGCAGGGAAGGACACCCCCTTGAGGCTTTGGAGGTTCAACTAACACCTCGATTGTGAATTTCTTGCCTGCAGAGCTGTAAAAGAATAAATTTCTGTTGCTTTTCATCACCCAGTTGTGGTCATTTGTGACAATAGCTCTAGGAAGGCCAGGCACCCTCCAGACTTGCAGGTGACCGCTGTTTTTCACCCTTCAGTGACCAAGGCCCCGCAGGTGTGCTAAGCCCAGAAAGAACTAGAGGAGAAGGTGTTCCAAAGAGCCCCTCAGCTCACAGCTGCATAGGGTAAGAGTTTATGAAAGGAAGGAGGAGAGGAGAGCGAGGGTTGGGTAAGGATTGAAGAAGGGGCGGCTGGGATGCCACTCTGAGAAAGGAAGGAAATAACTTTCCCACCCCTCAAGATCTCAGCCAGGCCCTCCGGGTCCCTTCTTTTAATGCATTGCCGAGGTGACCCCATGCCTGGACTGGCCCTTTGGGAAGAGGTCAAACAGTGCCCACCCACAGTTGGGAGGTTCTTCGAGATGTGGGTCCCGGCCCGGGGAGGACGATGGCTCCTTGGCACTGGCCCCAAGCAGGCGGGGACCAACGAGATGAAGTTGCAGGTGCATCACCCTTGGGGCAGACCACACAGCCGGTTGAGCACAGGGCTGTGGACCACGTCGGTGCGAGCAGGACTGGAGGCCATTCAGAGTAAGTATAAAGGTCGTGCGCTCACGGACAAGCGAAAGGGCCGAGGAGGGAGGAGGGACAGAGAGGAGGAGATGGCGCAGTGGGCGCTGCCACCGAGGAGAGGCGCTTGGGGTCTTTGCTGAGCCAGGTCCGAGTGACCCCTGCCTCTTCTCAGTGGGGCGCACTAGTTGCGCGCGGCGGGCAGGAGCCCCCCCGCCCCCAGGAGCCCCGCCCCCGGTCCTGGGGAGACAGACGTGCACTCCAGCTCCCCTGACGCGACGTGAGAGCCACTTTACGTCATCGCGGGTTCCCTTGGCAACGGAGGTAGGCCACCGAAGATGCTTCTTAGTGAAGGAAAAGAGCCTTGGGAGTCCATGGGACCCTCCGCGTCCAGTTTCAAGCCCCCGGGCTCCAGGCAGAGTGTTGGGGAGGGGGCTCTGTGCGGGGTTACAGCCCCCTTCACAGCCTAGAACGTTCCTTTCCCTCACTGAGTCATAGGAACCCTCTAGGAAGGCGGGCTGGGGTCATTCACGCAGCTCTGTAGAATTGGGGGGGTCCCTACTCCTCCCACGGGCCCCTCCCTCCACCCTGCGCTGTAATCGTGTCTCCTGAGGTTGTCTGCCCTCCACCCGGCCGTGCGCTCCCGGGGTAAGACAACATATCTCCAAGATTTGGGGAGAGGGTACACAGACTCATGGATGGATTGCGGGGTAAGGGGAGTCCGACCCTTGGTTGAAAGCCCTCGGAAGCTCAGCTAGAAGTTACGTCACAGACTCGCTTTCATCCGCACCCCACCCCCTCCATCCCTGGGATGCTGCGTCACGCAGAGAGGTGCGCGCGGGCGCGGGCTGGTGGAGGCGCGCGCGTGACTGCGGACTGCTGAGGGCCCTTCCAGCCCCCGCCCCCGCCCAGCCCTGCCACAGCCCGCACCCTGCCCTGAATGTCGTGGTTCGCCTTCTCCAGCTTCAAGCGCTGCAGAGCTGCAGGGACCCAGGCAAAGGGGGTGCGGGAATGCAGTTGCTCTCAGCTTCCCACATTCCAGCTACCTGTGGCCCCTCATCCAGAGCTGTGGCAGGTGGTTCTGGAGAAAAGAGACCTCCCTACCTGCTGGTCACCTCCGGCTTGTCACACAGCTGCCCCTGTCACGTCCCCCACTCCGTGCAGGCAGAGGATTCTCTGTGCTCAGGTCTAACGTCCCTTTTGCAGCCCCCTTCTACTTCCCTACTCCCTCCCTCTTTCCCTCTTTCTTCCCCCAGAAGGAGCCCAACAGGAGCTCGAACTGGTGCCCCTGCCCACCTTGGGGGCGCACAGCTCCCACTGGCTCTTTCAGACCTGCAGAGGTGGAGTCAGCTCACAGGAAGGGGGCTGTAGCCACCATGGACAGGGTGCTGCCCAGTTAGGCCCAAGACAGGAGGTCCTGGCAGCACGTTGGGTATGAGCAGGCTGGACACCCTTGGTTTTTCCTGAATGTCCAGGCTGCGACTGCCCCCTTCCCCCCTCCACAACAGGCACAACCCAGGAGTCCCGGGGACCACCCTCCACCCAGTCAGCAGAGCTGCCCCAAACTGTCCCGAGAGGCCTGAGGACCACCCCCACCCCCACCTCCAGTTAGCAGGGAGGCAGCTGTGCCTGGCTACCTTGGCAGCCATCGGATCAGCTCCCGCATACACTCACACCCTGCACACGCACCCTACACACCACACTGTGCACTTGCACACACGCACCCCCACACATCTTCGCATCTCTCACATCTTTGCACACCCCCGCACACATTCGGGCCCCCTCGCCTCGACTCCACAAGGAAAAACGTGGAAATGGCTCACAGGCGGCTCCAACGGCAGCTGCTGCAGGACGCGGTCGCGGGAGGACAGCGATGCTGCTGTGGATGCGGAGGATGCAGTTCCAGACGCTTCGCAGCTTTGCAGCCGGGCGGGGCGGGTGAGGGGCTGGAGCCTCGAGACCGAGGCTGCTGTTGCCATGGAGATGCAGGCTGGAGGAGGGACCACTGTGGCGCCTGCAGCCCCGCACCCCTTCCCACGTCAGACCTTGTTGCTGCTCTCCCCCGACCCCCGCAACAGGCACGCACCTAACACACAACTCAATGCCACACACACCTCAGAGACACATGACACACCACACTCACACATAGCTCACGCTTCTGATACACCTCAGACACACTAACCACACATCTCACACAAAGATTCACTGCCACCTCACTGCAGGGAGCAGACACCAGACTGGCTGAACACTGGCTGCTCCTGCTCCTGGAATCCCTGGGTTCTCAGGCAGACCCTGAGGGCTCAGATTGCCCCTAGCTTCCTGTCTTCCCACCCCTTGGGATCAATGGGGTCAGGCACAGCTGGGATTGGCTCCCCACCCAGAGGGTGCCTCCTGCCTGTGTCAGGTCTGAATCCCTGGGCTGTAATGTTCCCTCGGGCCAATCTCATCTTTCCTGGTCACTGTGGTGACCAATGTCTGCACTATGCCTAGGATACAGAAGTGTCAACAGGTGTTTCATTGAGCAGGTGCCAGCCTGGCATGGAGTGCCTGTGGCAGACATGACCTTCCCAGTCCTGGGTTCTTGGCTGGTGGTGGACAGTGACAGCAGCATGTTCACCTGAATCAGTCTTGCTGCTGGTTGGAGTCTCACTGCAGGCATGTACCTCTGTTTATCCACTGATGGGCACCTGGATTGTTCTCAGTTGTGTCTGTTGCTTAAATGTGGTTGAACATTTCTTTCCAAGTCTTTGGTAGGCATGGGTTTTCATTTCCCTTGAGCAGATCTGATTATTTGGACCATAAGTTTACCCTTAGCTTTTTCAGAAGACACTAAAATGTTTTTTCTAAAGTGGCTGCACCATTTTACATTCCCACCAGCAGGATAGGGGGCTCCAGTTTCTCCATAATCTCACCAACATTTGTTACTCTTTTTTTTATTATTGTTATTATAGACATTTGTATTAACTGCTCAGGCTGTCATAACAAATCACCACAGATGGCATGGTTTAAACAAAGAACTTTATTTTCTCACTATTCTGGACACACTGTGTCTTTACATGGGCTTCCCTCTGGGTGTCAGTGTCCTTGTGTCCTCTTCTTATGAGAACACCATTCATACTGAATTAGGGCCTGCCCTAATGATCTCATTTTAACTTACTTAATGGCCTCTTTAAAGACCCTATTTCCAAATACAGTCACATTCTGAGGGGTTAAAACTTCAACAGAGGTCTTTAGGAGAGACACATCCAGCCCATAGCACCATGGAGCAGGTGTGCAGAGGCGCCCCCTCGTGGTTTGCATCTGTATTACCCTAATGATTGATACTGACCTTTCCACAGGTCCATTAGCCGTGTGTAGATCTCCAGTGAAATGTCCAGTCCGATTTTCTAAATACTTTTTAATTGGGTTGTCTGATTCCTCGCTATTGAGTTATAAGGGGTTCTTTATATATTCTGTACACAAATGTGTACATTTTCTTCTTTTTCCTTTTTCTCCATATGTAGCCCAGACTGGTTTGAACTCAAGATCCTCCTGCCTCTTGAGTGCTGGGATTACAGATATGTACCACCATGCCTGGGCTCTTTTCTTTATTTTAAAACAACTATTTGAAAGTGGTAGAGTGTTTGCCTCATATGTGCAAGGACCTAGGTTCAATCCCCAGCACTGCAAAACAAGTAAACAAATAAACACATAAAAATTATTAAACACATAAATAAATAACTAGTTGACAATGATTGTGTATATTCGGGCATAAAATGTTTCAGTTTGGTGTGCAATGATCATCATAATCAGGTTAATTAGCATGTACCCACAATATTGCACCTTGATCCCCAGAACGTGCTCACCTTTGTCACTTGCAGTCTGTGTGCCCTGTGACAACACCCCCACTGCCCACTCCACAGCCTGGCAGCCATCCTTCTACTCTGCTTCTGATGTCAATATTTTTAGATTCCTCCTGTAAGAGAGATCATGTAGTATTTGTCTTCTTGTGTCAGAGTTATTTTACTTGGCAGAATGTCCTCAAGATTCACTCACTCATCACTGATCCTCCAGCATGTGTAGATGAAGTAGTGAGGGTGGGCATCCTTGTCTTGTTCCCCATCTAAGGAGAGATCTGTCAGTCTCCCACCATTAAATATGATGCTGGCTGGATGTGGTGGTATATGCCTGTAATCCCAGCACTCAGGAGGCTGAGACAGCAGGATGGGAATTCCAGGGCTCCATAGTGATACCTTGTCTCAACAAAAGCAAAAGTAATGCTGGAGGAGTGGCTCTAGTGTTTGAGTGGCTGACTAGCAAGTGTGAGGCCATGAGTTAAAGCCCCAGCCCCCCCAGAACATAAATAAATAAATAAAACGGTGCTTGCTGTGGATTTTTTGTGGATTCCTTTTAACCAGGCTAAACTTCTCTTCCTAGCCCCCAAACCTTTGGTACTGGGGCTGAACCCGGCACCCTAGTCCTAGTTTGTTACGGTTTTGTTTCTACCATAAATGGGCATTGGATTTTGTCAGCTGCTTTTCTCACAATAATCATGAGCTCTTTGTCCTTGATAATATCAAACACTAATTAATTTTTTAATAGTAGACCAATTTTGCATTCCTGGAATGAATTCCTTAATTTAGCAAATATTTTGTTTGGGGGATGGAACAGGCAGGTGTGGGGTGGGCCAGGTTGAGGCAAGGAGGCTCCTCAGCTGGGGAAGGGGGTCCTGGGAGGCAGCTCAGGTGTCTGGACTCAGTGCCCAGGTTGGAGTGGGGCTGCACAGCTGTAGGCCCATTAGGACTGCTGGTCCCTGACCTCTGGCCAGACACACCCACATGGAGCAATAAAACCCTGAGCAGCCTGGGTGAGAAGGAACAGGGCCAGACTCCTGAACACCCGGACTTGCAACTCCAGCTTTGCCAGAGAACAGCACTGAGCAGGACCCCAGCTGTCCAGCCATGAGGAGGTGATGCCAGGGCCCCTGGGCTCCAACCCCCCCTATTCACCAAAACCTGGCTACTGTAGCTGTGGGCCCAGGAGCCTTGACTCAGATTGCCCCTGAGGGCTCCTCTGTCCCCACCCAGGGCCTGGCTCAAGCAGAGGGTAATGGAGGGAGGGGAGGGAGAGGCTCTTTCTCCCCCCATGGTCCCCAGGTTTGCACAAGAGTGCTGTTCCCTGGGGCCCTGACCCAGTGGAAAATCACCTGCGGATCCCCTGCCCCAGGAGTTGGAGGAGGCACCAGGCTGTGCTGGCCCCAAAAGAAAGGGGTGAGGGTAAAAAAGATAAGAGATGGTTACTGGAGGCTGCAAGGGGCTGGGGGCAGGAGCCAGGTACCTGGAGGTTACCTAGATACTAGGGTTTGAGGCTCAGGGAGGACCCTGATCAGCAGGGGCAGTGAGAGAGAGTCCAGGGGTGAACCAAGGCTCCCCCTGCCCAGTGTAGGAGCCAGTGTCTGCTGAGGGGACTTGAGGGCAGCCAGAACAGCTGAACTCCAACCAAGGCCCTCATGGTATACCTGTCCTCTGCCCTTTGGTCCCCACCCCTAAGTACTGAGTCATCCAGGAAAAGGTCCGAAGGTTTCTGAGACTGCAATCCATACACAGCAGATAGTGCATGCCACACACACCACACACACACATGCACACACCACACACCTGCACACCACATGCATGCATGTTACACACACATGCATACTACCCAGTGCTCATGTACCATACACACCTGCACACCATATATACCACACTGCACTACCACACCACGCCACATGTCCAGATAGGCCTGCCAGCCTTTCTGCCTGCATGTTGTGGCCACTTTCTACCCATGAGCCCTCCAGCAGATGCCCCACACTGGGGGGCATAGCCTCAGGGGCACTGTGGGTGTGGCACTGAGCCAGGGCATCCATCCTCCCATCAGTGTGGTCACACCTGTGTGTGTGCATATGTGCATGCAGGTGTACAAGTGTCAGTACTGACTGTCAGTGCCTGCCAAGGTAGAGTCCATCCAGGGTATGGGGTACAGTAGCCATGGGTGGGGTAGCCCGGGCTTGAGGGTATAGAAGTTATACCATGGACATCTCACATGCCTCTCCTGCCTGCAAGTCCTTTTCTGTCAGATGAGGGACATAAGCTGTCTGCAGACTCTTCAGGGACCCATCCCAGGACAGCCTTCTTGCCAGGATGGATGCCACAACCCCATCAGCTTCCATCTGGGTTCTGCAGGGGTTGGGGTGGGATAAGCTAATGGAGGGCAGCCCCTTGCCCACCTCACACCCCCTCTCTGGTCCCACAGGCTCCTCCTGGTCACCTGCTTGGTGACTGTGCTGCTGCAGGAGGCAGGTGCAATCCCAGTGCCCCAGGTATGTGTGGGCCCCTTTGCCTGGTCCCCACCCCTGGCTGTCACCTGTCCTACTCATCAGGGGACATTGGGAAAGCCCCCTACTCCCATACTGGCCCAGGAGAACAGAGGCAGGGCACTGACATGAGTGCAGATGCTGTGTGGCCACGGCCACGTGGCACTCAGGTGTGGTCACAGGATGAGGAAGGGTAGGTGTTCTCCCACTGGGACCTGACAGGAAAGCCTCCACAACACCCAGGTGACCCCAGGTGGGGGACATGGGCCTCAATGGCACCTAGGGAGACTCCATTGAAGTGGATCTTCATCGTACCTGGGCAGGTAGCTCACCTGTACTGTCTGTGTTGATAGCAGTGGCCTGGGCTGGGACTGTGGAAGGGGTCTGCCCTGAGAATAACGAGGATGAAGAAAGCCCACCCCTTCAGAGCCACCCCACAGCTGCCTGGAGCTGGTCATTTCCCGGGGGGACCACCTTTGCTTCACTACCCTCTCACCACTTTGTCTCACAAGGTGCTGTTCTCAGAGCTGCTGAGGCCTGCCCCAGGCCACCAGCCAGGGAAGGGAGGGGCAGGTGTAGCTTCTAGTCTCTCAAGAAATGAACCAGTGCCAAGGGCTGGGGTGCAGTATAGGTACCAAGCCAAAGCTAAGCCCAGGTCCCTGCTAAAGAGCTCAGCCTTCCCTGACTGAACCCTGGTAGGCTGCTGGTCTCACTTTACTACCTGTAATTTTGATATCCAGAGTAGCTCTTAGCCCCTAGAGACATCCACAGGTTGAGCTGGACCCCTTCCTATAGCCCCAGGTGGGTCTTGCAGTGGTCTCTCCCTGAGTGTCCTCCAACTTAGTGCTCCTGACTGGCAGAGCCCACACTTGTGACTCACTCTCCCAGGTCCTTGTCAAGACCAACGGCAAACACAAGGTTGCTGAGCAGGACACAGAAAAGTAAGTGCCCCAGAAGGCCCCTCACACACTTCCTCAGAGTTTTGGGTTGCTCTGTGGCCCTTCTTGGACATGGGGTGCACTGGGTAGATGGACAGGAACCCTGCCCAGCAGCTTTCAGGAGAAGGCAGTGCTTGGGCTCTGGGGATCCCTCAGCAGTGGGCTTCACATCAGGAACAAAGGTGTCTGGGGGACTCCTGGCCATGCCGCCCCTCGCAGCTCCCTTGCAGCCTCCAGGTGGATCAGCATGGTCATCCTTGAGGACCCTGACCAAAGTAGGCTCTGACCTTCCCAGGCCTAACCATCCCCAGTGGCTCAGAGATCTGGGAAGGCCTGGCTGGACACTTATCCTGGGTCTCTGGGGCAGTAGGCTGGAGTGACTTTCCAGGGCCAGCAACTGCCTGGGGGCAGCTCTCTGGTGGGAAAGCCTATGTCCACCTCCCCCCCTGCCATCACCTGCAGGTGGACCTGACCCAGCTGTGTTGGCAGGGCCTGGGACACCCGAGCCGTGGAACCTCTAGAGAAGGATGACCAGCTGGGGAAGCTGCTCCCTGTGCCCAAGTGGAAACCTGCAGCTGAGAAGTTGCCAGGTCAGGGTGGGACCAAGGCCACAGCAGTGGAGTCTGCCCCACGGGTTCACTCGGATATATGGGCCAGTGGGAAGAGGTGGAGGAGAGGGTCTTGGGAGGGAGACTGAGACTACACGTCCATCTACCTGTCCCCAGATATCAAAGCCTGGGTGGAGACCAAGGACATCTTGGGCCACTTTTGGAGTCCTCAGCAGGGTCCTGAACCTGATCTTGACAGTCTGTACCACCCGCTACCTGAGGAGGTCCAGGGTGAAGAAGGGCCCACGTTGAGGGTGATGCTGTCTCTCCAGATGCTGCAGGGACCAGAGGAAGATCTAGACCACATCTATCACCCCATGGAGGGCTTCAGGGGACCTTGACCACTTCCCACCTCTGCCCTAAGGCCCAGGCTATGGGGACTGACGATCCTCACCAACAAGAGAAATAAACACCTGTGAACAGGTGGAAGGCTATGACTACCTTTAAGACCAGTGACCCTGAGGCCCAGTCTGCTCTCTGGGAGGAGGAGCCACATCAGCCCCACCTGTGGCACAGAGAGCCTCCCAGGGGCACAAGGGCCTCCCCAGACTCACCTCTGTGCATGAGGGGTTGAGGTGAGGGTGTGTCAGCAGTTAGTATGGGAATAACCTCAGCAGAGAAGTAGAGCTTACGGAAGGGGCCTGAGAAAGGAGAGCACTGGGGAGGAGGAAGGCTGAGACAGTGGGGGCTCAGGTGGACAGAGGCATAGGTACACAGGTACATACATGCACAGGCCCAGCTTGGACTTCATTCTAATTTTTTAGGGCAGCACCTGGCTCTGTCTGGGGTGCTAGTTCTCCTGCATAGCCTCACTCAGCAGGCCCAAGGTCTTTTCACAGGTCAGGCCACCTGAGTTACCTCACACATGATGTGTGCACTGGGGTGCCCGGTGACTGTGCCCTGACAGTGAAAGGGAGGCACTTGGAGCCAAGCCCTCTGGATAGAACCATACATATTTGCCAGCTCCAGAGGTGAAGGCAGAACACCTGGGAAAGGCTCCAGAGGTTAAGGTAGAGTACCTGGGAAAAGCTGCCAGCTCTCCATCCTGATGCGCCCAGTCTGCATGCCTCTGCTGTGGGTTTGTCCAGATGATCCCATGTGCCCTGGGGCTCCCTATATCCCATAAACCTCCCACCTCACCCAGGGACACAAATGGAAGCCCTGAGGACTCACATATACCCGACTCCAAGCCACACAAAATAGGAGCCAGCACCCCCGCTTATGGATGAGTTCCGTGTTGCTGTTGTGAATGATTCCAGAGTCCCACAATATGGATGAAACAGCTAAGGCTGACAGTGACCTTCACCTGGGGCACTGCACCTGCCAACCTGATGAGAACCTCTGAATCAACACATCCCTGCCCTCGGCCCAGGTCTCAGATAGCCCCTAATCCCTGGGGCTGGATGGCTCAAAGTCTTCCTGTGTTAGTCAGTCTTTGTGTTGCTTTGTGACAAATTACTTAATTTGTCAGAAATAACTTAAGGGAGCATTGTTTTTTTGGCTCATGGTTTCAGAAGCTTCAGTCCGTCATGATGGGGAGGCTATGGTGGAATAGCACACATCATAGCAGTCAGGAAGCAGAGAGAGAGAGAGAGAGAGAGAGAGAGAGAGAGAGAGAGAGAGAATGCCTGGGCTTTCTCTCTTCCCCCTCTTTATTTCTTCTGGGTCCCAATCTATAGGATGGTCCTGCCTGCATTCAGGCTAGATCTTTTCCCTTTAGTAAATCCTCTCTGGAAACTCCCTCCCAGACACACCCAGGGGTGCTTTACTAATCTCCTGGGCACTCTCAAACCAATTTTGTTGGCAATCAAAACTAAACATCACACCCTCTCCAGGTCACTCCTACGTCAGGTCAGGGATGGCCAGGGACATTAACAGAGCAATTCAGGCACAAGTAGTTAGGAACCAGTGCCCAGTGGGCACTCTGACCAGTATCCCTGAGAAAAGCCAGGGTCAAGATTTGGGCTGACCTTGAATGGGGGTATGGCTCAAGTAATTCAGCATTTACATAGTGAGCATGAGGCCCTGAGTTCAAACCCTAGAACAGCCCCCTCCCCAAAAAAGATGTTTGGCTGCCCCACCTGAGCCCTGTCCACCGCCCCCCAGGTCTCAAGCAGGTGGAGAATCTGTGGATTGCTGGGGCTCCAAGAACCTGGTGTCTGCCAGGACCAAAGGTAGCTATTGGCCTAGCATGGTGTTTGTGCCAAGTCTCTCTTGCCAGGATCCCCATGGGCATCTCCTTCAACTCCTGAAGGGCTCAGCTGAGTGCAGCCAGGAGAGGCAGAGGGAGCTGGGGGACTCACGAGTGTGCCGTCATGGTGGGCATGCTGCTGAGGCAAAGGGAAGCAACTGGCCAGCTCAGCTCTGTGACTGAGCCAGGGTGGTCTGTGTGCCAGGGAGGTCTCCTACCCAAAACCTAGTGTGGCTCCTTCATGCTCCTCGTGGAAGTGGGGATGCTGTAAGGTGAAGGCAGAGACCTCCAAACCCAGCCACACTAAATTCCTACTTGCAATTTTTCCCCCTTACTCCCTTAAATCACCAGAAGGTAACTGGACTGTCCTTGGGTCACCTTTCTCTGTTGTCTGCCTGTTGCTAGGTAACGCTGCTTACGTGAAATGACTGATGGGCGCCCCACTGAAGTCGACTCCATTGGTAGTCACAGCTTTGGCTTCCCTGGGTGCAGTGGCCGGGGTTGCGGGGACCCTGAATGCTCTACCTGCAGAGCTGTGGCCAGACACCCTGGCTCAGAGGACCCTGGCTCCTCAGCCAGTGGTGCCCAACCCCTCACACTTGAGCCACCCCCAAGCCTGGGGGCTGTGTCATCCTTCCTGAGAGAGCCAGTGGCAGTGTGGCCTGAACATAAGTCAATGTCAGTGGGCGCTGGTGGCTCATACCTGTCTGTAATCCTAACTACTTGGGAGCCTGAGATCTGGAGGATCACAGTTCGAGGCCAGCTTGGGCAAATAGCTCTTGGGCTCCATCTCCACAATAACCAGAGAAAAATGGGCTAGAGGTGTGGCTCAAGCAGTAGAACTCCTTCTTTGCAAGCACAAAGCCCTGAGTTCAAACCCCAGTGCTACCAAAACAAAAGTTTGAGTGTTAATTGGACCCAGTAGCCTTCTGGTGGGCACAGGCACTCCCCAGAAGAGAGTGGACCAAGATTTAAAAAGGTTCTAGTGCCAGTGAAAAACGAGCAAGAGATGTGAACATTCGTGCCACTCAAGAAAGTAGATGGAGGCAGCACCAGGCCCATAAAAATCATACACAAATCATACACAAATCAGGGAATGAAAATTAAGACACATGGGGCAGAAGAGCTGGACTCACCCTGCTGGCGAGGATGTGAATTAGCACAGTTCCTTTGGACCATCTGAGAGGTCTATACAGTGGCTTGAGACTCAGTCTAAGCATTCCCCCCCCCCCCAACAACACCACCGCAAAGCTATTCCTGGCCCTCCAAAGCTACCTCTGTATCTTTACCTCCCGGGACAATGGGGGCTTCAAGCCGGAAGCAGCCGGCTCACATCCAACGTCATCTTTGAGCTCCATTTGACTGCTCATGCATATGCAGTAGGTACTCACTCACTGATCACAGCCCTGGGGCCCAGGCCACACCCAGGCCTCTCTGGTCCTACACCAGCGTGGTCGGCACCACCCACACTGGCACCCAATGTCACTTCCAAGGGTCTGCATTTCTTGCTCCCAAAGCATCCATGCCAACCCTGCTACCTGCTCTCCTGCTTGGGACTGAGGGAATGGCTCTGGTCAAGATCCACCCATGTCTGCAACCTGAGTGGCAATGCAAAGCCCTCACCCTACTCAATGGCATCTAATGTACCCCCCTCCAGACCCCCCTCCCACAAACACCATGCACCCTGGCGAGTCCCAGCCTCCTGCCCAGTCCCAGTCTCCTACTCAGCAACCAGGTCCCTGCCCAGTGCCCAGGCTCAATCCTCATTTCCCAACTGAGGATTCACTGGGGGTGGGGTGAGGGTGGGGGTGTTCTTTGGGAAGCCGTAGGCTCTGTGGAGTTCAGCACAAAAGAAGTCTGTGTAAGAACAGAACCTTTAGGTTGAAGGTTGACAGTGACTAGGTTTTCCCATCATTTTCACAAATTGGGGGAATCCAGTGCAGGTCAGGGCTCCCCAAGACCTGCCAGCCTCTCGAGCCCTAAGTTAGGGCCTGGGTACAGATGATGCCATGGGGAGGCCCACTGGTCGGGCTCAGGTATTGTTGGTTCTTCTCACCCAGAGTGGTCTTCATCAGGCCTATAGAGGAGCGAGGACAAGTGTCCCCTTCTTGAGGATGATATTTCCATAGAGGGCCGTCTCCCTGAAAGAAGACTGTACTGAGACCCCAGCTCTGCCCTCAGGGACAGACCAGAATCCATCTGCTTCCATCCCTCCTGCTGGACAAACAGGGAGTCCTGCCATCCAAATCCTTCCTGTTCTTGAGAGCCCTCCAGTCTCAGCTGAGCAGAGTGGAGCACCCAAGGACTTGGGGGGGGCTTGCCCAGGCCAGCTGGACCCAGTGGGAACCTACCCAGTTGCAACAACAGCAAAAGCCTTCTTTGCTCGTTCATAAAACTCAAACCTCTCTATCTTCACAAGGGGTTTCTGGAAGACAAAACAGCATGGTTGAAGGAAACCTGCCCAGAAGCCAAGAGGCAGCAGCACCAACAGGCCAGGCCCTCTGGGCTCCACTCCCCTGACTCTCCAGGTGCAGAGGTCCCAAAGGCACCCAACCTCTGACTCCGAACTGGACTGTGGGGACATGGGGTATCTCTCATGTTCTTGTCCAGAGCCTGCAACCGGTGAGATGCCTGCTGGACTTGGCATCCTCCTGCCTGGGACCACTCAGCCAGCTCTGAAAACCCATTTGAGCTTCCTCTGAGCTGCTGGGGGAGAAGGGTGCGCATTGCCCAGGACGGGAACCCCTGGTCTGTTCCCCAGGTAGGTCCTGCCCAAGATCTGTGAAATGGAGAATTGGTATGTCCCCTGCTGGGCAGGGATGTGGGCTGTGAGACACAAAGACCACAATGTGGATGAGTGGTGAAGAGAGAGACCTGGGGCAAAGACCTTGAGGTGAGGAGGGAACATCAAGCAGCCCATAGCCCTGTGGATCAACTCAAACAGACTTCCCAGGAAGAGAGAAGGATCCAGGAGGAGGTGGGAAGCTCTGGGCATAGAGGAAGGTGGGCACGTGACTCAGGTGCACTTCCATCCCACCAGCAAGCAGGCACCTGGTGGTCCTGAGTGCTGGCACAGTGCTGGGTGAGAGCCATGTGAGGACAATTTGGAACCCCCCCATTTCACTCTTCCTGAGCCCCTGGGAGAGAGGGTCTCTGGTCCCTTCCCATAGTTGGCACTGCAGGCTTACCATGCAGCCTGCCCCAAGCAGAAGGGACTCGTAATCTTGCCACACTGGGGTCTGCAGGCCTCTCTCCTTGTCACTGGGCACGAGTTCCATGACAGCAGCCTGTGGGGACAGGGGTCAGCTCTTTGGCCCTGAGTACCTTCAGGGCTCTCCAGGTTCAGGGCTCACCCTTTCGGGTTATGGTGGTTTCCTCACACTCCAAGGCAAGTGGCCAGTGAAGCTGGCCAAGGGGAATCTGAGGCCCAGAGCGGCAGCATGGCCTCCAGGCCCTTACCGGGCTCTCCACATAGGTGTCCAGGGGTAGCAGCTTCAGCACAGCCTCCAGGAGCAGCGGGATGCCCAGGCCTGAGAGGGCAGAGATAGACCTAGACCTCTGCTCTCCTCCACAGTCTGGCCCCTCACCTGCCCAAAACGTTCACTTCCGGGCAGCCAGCAAGGATGACTGGGGGCTGAGGACACTGCTGCCCCCAGCCCAATCTCACTCACCATCTGCCCGGATCTCCACAGGTCCACACTGACAGATGGAGGAGGTGGGGAAGTTGGCGTCTGCAAGAACTGAAGAGGCAGTGGTACAGGCCCAGGGCAGGGCCCTTCACTCTCCCACATGGTCACCCACATGGCTACGCATCCACGCAGTCACATTACCTTGTGCAGCCCGCCCACCAGGTGTGTCAACCATCCATCCTCCCACCCTGGTCAGGGGCACAGGTGTTGGCCCCCTTCAGAGCCAACAGGGTAGGAAAGACAGAAAGGGGGGTGGGAGGGTGAATCCCATGCCTGGGGGGAGAGCGGACCCCTTCCCCCCAGCTCCTGGTCTCCCAGCTGTGCTCCAGGGCCCGAGGCCCCAGACAAACTTCTGCAGACATCAGCGACAGTCCAGGCGGTGGCGGCCCTTGGGCGCTGTCAGAGGCTGTAAGGGGACCTGGCTGGCTCCGCCTGTCCCGGGGGCGCCGCTAGCCCGGGACACCCAGGCTGCGGGAGGGGCGGGACCTGCCCCATCCAGGGCCACCTCGTGACCACCTAGGCGGCCGTCCAGGACGTGGCGGGCCGAGCGAGGGCCCGGAACTGCCGGCCTCACTCCCTAAAGGAGCGGGGAGGTGCCTTCCTGCTCCGAAGGGCTAGGTGGCCACTGCGGTGCCCCCAGAACCAGGTGAGAGCCTGGTTCCTCCTCCCTTCCACCAAGGGCACCGTGGTGGACTGGGCACTTGCCCAGGGTCCCCACCGCCCGGCCCCCGCGCGCTCACCGATCTCGTCTCCGTGCCCCATGCGCGCCAGCGCGAACAGCAGGTCGGGGGACAGCACGGCGGGGATGCCCTTGAGCGCCACCATGGCCGCGGCCGGGCAGGAGCGGGGCCTGATGGACCTGGGCGGGCTCTGAAGAACTGGGGTAGGTCTGACGGGCTGGGGCGGGGCTGGGAGTGGGGCCTGGGAGGAGGGATCGAGCCCAGGGGGCGGGTCATTCCCAGCTGGACGCTGGGGTGTGGCCAGGACCACGGCGGGGCCCTGCGCAAGGCTCAGAAGCATGGCAGCTGTGGGAAATTCGGGAATCAATCAGTGTGGGAAGGACGACAAAGCCACAGCAAATACCTGGAAAAACACATCTGTGTGCTTTTGGCCAGCGCCACAGCACAGACACTGCAGCCGAGCTGGGGTGGCAGAGATGGGAGGGGTGAGGGCTGAGACTGAGCAGTGTTCATACCCCCCCAAAGCTAGGAAGTACAGGAAGGCAAGCCAGTGCAAATGTGACGGGTTTCAGCTTCAAAAGTAAATCAAACCTCCCAAAGTATAATGGGTTAACTAGCTCAAAACAGGTGGGAGCCTCATTGGGACTTGGGGTGTCCCTCCTTGGGGACGCCAAATAGTCCACTGTCCCGAACTCCCTGAAGCTTGGGACATGAGAAATCTCAGTTTAGAGGTTAGTCCCCATCCCCACCAAGGTAGAGCTGAGCCCCTTTGATGCCCTGGGGCAAAGCAATATTGAGCCCTGTCTTGCTTCTGGTGGGCACTGAGACTGTATAAAAGAGTTCCCAGGCGGGAACCCCCAGGGTTCATTGCTCAAAATCAAATTACAGAGGCAGAGACCCAGTAAACACAAAAATTAAACTGATGAATGGGTTTTCTCAGTTTAAGGTGTCTGTCCTCCCTTGGCCCTGAAACTTTCTGTACCTTCTCTGCTTGCTTATTCCACTGGGTGGACAGTCTTACTCAAAATAAACCTGCACAGGTATTCAGCTTTAATGAATGAGCACCTTCATGTCTTGCACCATGAAAACCGGGCCTCCCCAGGCTCCCTGCATCAAAGAGCACATTCCGCCCAATCAAATCCCCTTTGTACCTATTTCTGTAAGCAAGGGTGTGCCCAACAGTGCAAGATCCTGAGGCTCACCTGCTAAGGTCACCTGCCTCTTGTGTGAAGATGACTGAGACCTAGGCATGGGTCCTCTGACAGTTGAAGTCAATGGAACCCACCACTTCCTTCTCCCTGCGGTGCCAACTTCTGGTCACAGCACGTGAAAGGACAGGCAAGGATGGGTACACTGCTGAGCTGATACCTGCAAGGCAGCTGAGCCAAACACAAGCTGTCACCTGAGGTGGCAAAGGTCAGATCAGTTCTTAGTGAGTGATCCACTCCCTGTCTAGCTCAGATCCTCCAGGGCAAGTGCTCACACGCTCTTGGCCCACACCTGCCCAAAGCATGGCCACAATCCACAGTGTCTGTGCTAAGCTGTGGGGCCAGGTAGAGGAGACACCTGTAAATGGTGTACTCACATGGCTACTGAACTGCAGGTGAATGTACTTCACAAGGCGAGGAGGGCCCTGAGGCCAGGTGTCAGGCCGGGGATCATTTGCTTTGGCTAAGTTGTGCAGTGTGTGGTCAGCGCACTGGTCTCTGTGGCCTAGGCTGTATATTGGCCTTGTGATGAATTCCGAATGCTCAGTTACGATGTGTTTTATCCTGGAGTCCCAGGCAGGTCTCAACCCACTTCTCTTAGGTAGAGAGCCCTGTTCTGGTTTGCAGCCAGCATAGCCAAGTCCCTTGAGAGGTGGGTAGCCACTGTTGGGGTGTGGGAGGGGGCTCATAGCAACCTGGGTGTCCACTTGCTGAGATGCAGAATTCTCAGTCTCACCTTAACGAGTCTGGGACTGCCGTGGGACTTTGGAGCCTCAGACCTGAGGCTGCCTCTTTTACCTGTGAGGACTGCAGGCCTTAGGTGGAGGCACATGGTCCAGCCTCCAGGACTTGTGCCATTCTCCCAGACACTTGCTGGAGAACCAAGTTTGAAATGGAGGGTTGAGCATTCTGAGAAGAGGGTGGTTTCTTTAACTATGGCCACTGGGTCATCTAGGTTCCCCTAGCCCCATCTGGTACCTGGCCTTCCTGGAGTCTGAAGCCACCATGTCCTTCAGGGTGGCTCTTCTGCCACTTCTGTGTTCAAGGTCTTCAAACCTCACACAGTAAATGGCACCAGCCTTGTTCATGGTTTAGATCAGTTACTTCCTATCAAATACTTCCTACCCTGAGGCTTCCTGGTGCTTCAGCAACCATGGATTCTGTGAGCACTGAGGATTCCAGGGCCTCCCTTGGGTTCTGGTCCAGCTCCAGAAATCTCCATTTTAAGCAAATGCCCCAAGGTTCAGATGGAAGCAGCCCCACATGGACCCTGGAGCCCTCCATGGCCTCACATTGCCAGGAAGTGCTGGGGGTGCTACAGAAGCACACGTAGATGAGTTAAGATGAGGAAGCTTGTGTTGTGTGCAAGTAACATGACTGAGAAAAATGCTACCGAAACAAGAAAAAGTAGCACTAAACAGCATAAAAAGAAAGAAACCAGGACAGTCTCCTGTGGAGTGCCATGCAGAAGTGTGAATGGAATGCCACTTAGGAAGCCAAGCTCCACACTAAGCATGTGTGCATCTGGGCACAGAAAGATCTCCAGCAGGCTCAAGGCCAAGTGCTCACAGCGGTCGGTTACCTTAGGGACATGGCACGGGGATAACTAACTTAATGCACTTGTTTTTGTGATAATGTTATCACTTATAATGAAACAACTATTTTTTTAAAAACCCCTGATTTATAGGACATTTGATCTCTAGAAATGATTAAAAGCGAGGTATAACTAATTTGAAGCAGTCACTTTAATCAGATTATTCCGTTCAAAATCAGCAGACAGGAGCATCCCTGAGCAGCCACATCCACAACTGCAGACGGGACAGGCACAGCTTTCCACCAGAACACAGGTGTGCAAGATAGGGCAGCTGGTGCAAGCACATGTCCCTGAATGAATGGACACCGAAGGCTCCTTGTGATTCAGAATGTGCTCTGATCATATGCAATGTGCTTAACTCTCTTGATGGCCACAGCCCCATGGCCATGGGTGGGAACTGTGTTGTGCCCTACACTACCCTTGGGGAGGATAGTTTATTGGATTTTGAACTGACAGGCTGCACTTTCCTCTCTGGTTCTCAGTTGTCTTTGAAGTTTGCCTTCCTCTTCTCCACAAACGCAGCCATGCCTTCTCGCCGGTCATCCTGGCAGGAAAAGGAAGAAAAGCAGAAGTGATACATCTTCCTGCTGAGCCCCACTGTGGCCTGCCTGAGGGCTGCTCTTGTTGTGCTCTTCCTGCCTGGGTTCAAACAATCCCCGCCATGTCAGCCTCCTGAATGCTGGAACTACAGGCTCACCATGGTGCCTGTCTACCAACTGCACTTCAAGTGTGACCCTTTTTTCAATAAGAAATGACCTTATAGTACTGGGGATATAGCTTAGTGGTAGAGTACTTGCAACCTGGGTTCAATTCCCAGCACCTTAAATAAATAAATAAATAAAAAAGGCCCGAGAAAGCTTCCTATTTGAACTTCCACACATTGTACCTTTTACCAAGGCCACTGATAGAACAAGTCTGATGGACAGAGAAGAAGCTTAACAGCTCTGACCAAAAGGAAGTGGCATCTAATGACAAATCCAGCCAACACCCACCACATACTTGAACCTCAGGCAGAATATTGTTTGTTACTCACTGTGGCAAAGGTGGAATAGAAGAGTTTCTTCTCTAACTTATTTCCTTCTGCTAACGTCATTTCGAAGGCTGAAAAAGAAACCCTGAAGTCACGAGATGGGATGCTATGGGGGTGCAGAGCATCTGTGAGGTGACAGTCTCTCCTTTGTAACCCACCCCAAAACCCCACTGACACCTGGGAAGCTCCTCGCTGGGGCAGTTTGCCCCCTTTGTCAAGTGCATGGCCCCAGCTGAGGTGCCCATGTGGACAAACTGCTCTTCCTGGCCTCCTGAATACCCTCAGTGATGGCCCAGGGTCCCCAGCGGGGAGAACTAGATGAAAGGCAGAATGGCAAAATCTGTCCAGTTACAAGGATCTGAGGTAGCTGGTGAAACTGAAAGCATAGGAAAACAGAAAGGATAAAAACCAGAAGGAAACACAATTTGCTCTAGGCCTTATCCTGGGCCTTTCTTTTCAGGGAGGACACAGAGCAGTGGCCCAAGATATGACCTTGCCAGAACCCTTGGTCACTTCCCTGCGGCCATTACATGGCTAGCACCCCAAATATCAGCACATCTGACCAAGGTCAGTAGCAACCCCGCAGGCCAGCATCTCCTCTGGCGGTAGCAACAGGCTGAGGCAGCAAGACTTCGTGAGTCATATACCTCAGCCTCCAGCTGACTCTTTATAGGAGCAGCACAGTGTCATTCCAAATGCTGAGATTACATTAAGATTCTCTCATTTAATCATTTATCTCAAAAATTACCACTACATTAAGACTCAAGCAGCTCTGAGGAGGAGCGGTCAGATAGGCTTCACCAGCAGAGTAAACCCGGGCTCCTGCAGATGCTTTTGGAGCTGGGTGACCTGAGACCCCAGTCTGCAAGCTCTCTGCATAACCACAAGGCAGGCTGAAGAGGGAAGCCCTCCAAACCAGATCCTGGAACACCACGTTTTCCCACAAACCAGAGACCAGCTTGACTTCAGGGGGTATGGCTGTGGCTTTCTCCTCCCAGCACCCCATTGCTGTTACCTCCCAGGCCTGGTCCAGACTTGGACCCTGGTATGAAGGGACATTCAGAACACTTCAACATAATCTGTGAGTGACTAGAACCTGGAATTCTTAAGGCACGATCTCGACCATGAGAACCCCATTTCTGTCCAGGACTGGCCACAGCACATTCAGAGCCTCACAACCCCATCTGCAGTCCTGGGGACCCTCTCCACTTTCTCTTCCCAGCAGAACCCTACCTGCATTCACGGATTCTTTGGCCATGGCTGCTATAATTTTGGAATTGCTGGCAATTTTTTCTGCACACTGGATGGCCTCTTCAACCAGTGTTTCAACAGGAAAAATCTTGCTTACCAAACCTAAAACATGGAAAGCGTAACATGGAAGTGTGAGCAACACAGAAGTAGGAATGATTCACAGAAACAGCACCAGCTCCATTTCTCCTGGAGCCCAGTGATGTCTGGGAGCCCAGTGTTCTGAGTGTTGAATAAGAGACAGTTGTCCCCAAGGATGGGGTAGTTCCATACCCAGGGGGCTGAGGTCACTGAGAATTCAGACACACAGGCAAGGGTGTCCTCAGCATCAAAGAGCAGACACAGGAGGACATGGGGACTGACTAGAGAGAGAAAGGGCCAGTGTGCAAAGGTCTGGGAGACCTCCACTACCTACAATGGTGTGTGGGAAGGGGATATTGTCTTATTATCCTCTAACCTGGACATGTGCTGTCACTCTCTTGTATACAAGGTATTTTAAGATATAAAACCCAAAAGGAAGACCCAGAGGCTCTGGACTGATCACCCCCAGGAACAGCCAAACCTCCACCTGGCTCCTGAAGGCAGATGTCCCACCTGCTTGCTTAGCATCCTGGGCTGAGATGCGGTCACCAGTGAGGACCATCTCCATTGCTAGTGACTTTCCAACTGCGCGGGTGAGTCTCTGGGTGCCCCCCGCACCTGTAGGGAGAGGGTTGCAGTCACAGCTGTTCTGTGTCAAGTGAGGCTGAGAAGAAATCCCAGGGTTGGGGGGGCAGCTCAATGTGTGTGCTTAGCATGCACACAGTTCTGTGTTCCATCCCATGACCAAAAGAAAAAGAAACCACAAACCAACAGTTGGTAAGTTCATAGGAGCTGAAGATAAGCCTAAGACAGGAGCTCAGTGGGTGGGCAGGCAGACCCAGCAGGGACATCAAAAGAAACTCCAGGAGCAGGCCCCTGTCCAAGTTTATTCTTCTGATCTTAGGATGGGTCTGTGGGCCCTCCTTGGGCTCTTTCCCCAACATTCTAGAAGCTAATAGGTCTCCTTGACCAGACCCTGAACAAATGCACTGAGCTCACTGCACAAAGCCTTGGAACCTGGCCCATCAAACCCAGGAGGCAGAAGGCTCCTCTGAGTGTGGCCTGCTCCTGAGGACCCAGGTGCCTCCTCTCTGGGTGCCCATCCCTCCTGCCAGGTCTACCAATAGTGGTGGTAGACAGCATTGCTCTTCATCCAATGCCCTAGGGCCCTCCTAGGCAGGGGAGGGGCTGGTGCTGACTCCCTGCTGTGTTGAACTCAGTGAGGTCATGTGACCTGCTGTGGCCAGGGATGTGAGAGTGGATGGGGCTGCAGTCATGTGGTATGGAGAGTTCAGTGCCAGCCAAAACTTCTGTTTTCTCCCAGGTTTCTAACCTACAGAGTTCTGCCACAGGTATAGACCACGAGCAGGAAACACCCACTGTGGCTGTCAGCCAACATCACTGCTGTGTGACACATCAAATGTGGGATCTACCCAGGCACCAGTGCCATCAGGGGCTCTGGTTGGGTGCAAGCTGCGGGTCTGAGGCTCAGGCAGAGAGCACACTAGAGCAATGGAGCTCTCACCTGGGATGGTCCCCAGCAGGATTTCCGGCTGTCCAAACTGAGCTTTCTCACCCGCATAGATGATGTCGCACATCATGGCGAGTTCACAGCCCCCGCCAAGCTGCAGAATGGTTGGCAAGGATAGGTTTTACCACACGAGCTTAGGCAGAAAATCATTCCATTTGTTTATGAACTTTCTCATTACGTGAAACAGTTACAGTACAGCAATGGTCAATCTAGCAGAACAAAGTTAAGTGCTGGGATAAAGTCTCTACAGGAGCTGATGCTGCTCACCAAGGGCTGGCAGACTTCTACAAAGGGCCAGACAGTAAACACTCCAACTCTGCTGTGGTGGCTCAAGGCAGCCAGAGAACTTGGACGTGAATGGCTGTGGCTGACCCTTGGGGACAGGCTTCATTGAGTAGTCACCATGTGGAACTTTAAACCAGCCCCACACTTCCCAACAGTTGAGGGTTGCAGGGACCCTGATGTGCCAGCAGGTGGCCCACAGCTTTCACAAGTGTAGGTGGTCACAACAGCAATGGAACCCACACAGGCAAGCCGGTGAGCCTGTGAGAACCAGCAGCTGAGCACCCATCCTCACTTGTTGGAAAAGCGCCACAGGCTGGGAACCACACTTAAGGCCTTTCCAAGACAAAGATATCCACTAAACTTTATTGCACAGCACAATTCCTTCCACCCACCCACACACCCTGGAAGCTGACACTCACAGCATAACCGTTGACAGCAGCAATGACTGGCTTCTTGACCCGGGTGAGTTGGTCCCAGTGGTTCAAGAATTTGCCGGAATAACAGTCCTGAAATGTCTGGTTCTGCATTTCCTTGATATCAGCTCCAGCTAGAAGCAGAAGTGAGGTTCCAGTTACCAGACAGCAGAGCCCACCAGTGTCCCAAAACCATGGGCAGCTGTTGCTCAGAACATGCACAGGCCCTCAGGGCAGTGGGAAACAGCTGATGTGGGGTCCAGCACACACTGAGATAGACGCCTGTTGTAATGAGATAATGCGTAGGGGTCACAGAAGACGGATGCAGTGGACTTAAGAGAAGGCTAAGCTTACTCCTCAGTCGTCCAACCTGGGCAGTAACCCAAGTCACTCTGACCACTTGTTCTGCTGGAGGAACAAACTTGAACACTGAATATACAGAGCTGCTCATCCAGGCAATTCACTTCACAAGTGGGTAAATCCTAGGCCACATGCCATCACAGATGGTGTCTTGTTGCTTCCCACAAGCACGCCTCCCACACCTACCACCACTGCTGCCCAGCACACCTGCAAACGCCTTATCCCCGCCAGTGAGCACGATGGCCCCCACAGCCGGGTCCTCCTCAAAGGCCTCAAGCGCCTGGTTGAGCTCCTTGATGAGGCCATTGCAAAGTGCGTTGAGTGCTTTGGGGCGGTTCAAGCGGATCAGGCCCACACTGCTATTCTTCCCCTTTTTTTCTGTGATGATGTACTCAAAGTTAGCCCCTAGGACAAGAGAGCAATGGGTGATCTCCATCACACAGGTGTCAAAGGCTCAGACACCAAAGGAACTCTGCCCAGTCCTTGTGGCTTCAGCCTTCAGCTCCTGCCAAAACCACTCTCTGCTTTCACACCTGCTTGAGTGTTTAAGTTAAAGAAAACCTGGGCTGGGCATGTAGAGCAGTGGTTGAGTTTGTCTAGCACGCATGAGGCTCTCTTTCCAAAATACAGCACGAGGAAAAGCAGGTCCTCCTGGTGGGAGGGAGATAAAGACAAAGGACCACTTCATTAGGGGGTGACCACAACAACCTAGAGGGGCAGTAAGTTCAGACTTGGCGGGAAAGCAGTCTGGGACTTGGAGAGGAAGGTGAGCTGACAAAGTGAGCAAGTGCCTGTGTGTTAGGTGGTTAGTTCCTTAGCACAGTGCCTGTCCCATGGACTTGCCGAGAGTAACTGCAGTATCATATGAGAAGTGCTGAGCATGCCTGCCACATCGGAGGGCAAAGAAATGGCTGCTGTTTCCAGCTTGCAGCGCAGGAGCTCCAGGGCAGGGCCAAAAATTCCTGGTAACACCGGGTGACACACGCAGGACACCCAGCAGATGAGCCAGATCAGAAGAGGGGAGGGACCATCCAGTTGGGGGGCGGGGCGTAGGCCCCTGGATGGTCAGGCTCAGGGAGAAGTAGTGGACACAGGAGGGGCCTGGACAGGAGGGACTGCAAACTTTGTGTCCAATTTCCAGGCTAAGTTGCTCAACAGGAACCTTTAAAGCTACCTAAACACACATGAAATTTCACAACTAACATCCAAGCGCCCAGCTGGCCGGAGGTCCGGGCACTCAGTGCAGGTATTAAGAGTTGAGAAGCAGCCAGTTACCCAGGGTCCTCCCACTAGACAAGGCTTCCTACAGGCTCCACACACAGTCAGTGCGGCCTGGGCAGTGTGGCAGGGGGCCAAGAATTAGGTGGGGGGTTGTGGGCACGAACCAGACGTGGAAGGGGTCAAGGGTCAGGTGGGAGGACCGGGGGCAGGAGTCTGGGGTTGGGTGGTAGCGATTTCAGGCAGGAGTCCAACTGGGACCAGGGGTCAGGCGGAGGGCTCCGCGGCCCGATGGGGGCTGCAGGCCGGGATCAGGCCGGGGTGCAAGATCAGGAGGTGGTTTCAGAGTCAGGTGTGTGCCGGGTGCAGGTCCGGCATTGGGCAGGTGGTCTGGGGTCAGGCTGGCAGGTTGCGGATCAAGTGCGGGGTGCAGGCTGGGGGTTCGGTGTCAGAAGAGGGGTCAGGACAGGTTTCCAGACCAGGCCAGTCGGGTGGGGTAAAAGACCCCTTCCAGGGCCCGCACTCACCCGAGGCGAAGGGCCGTAGAGCGGGGCATCGGGCGGGGGACCGCAGTGGGCCGGGGACGCGGAGCAGCAGAGCGCGCAGGGCAGCCATGGCGCAGAAACTCCCTCCTCCCCTCCATCGCCCCGCCCCAGGCGTGAGATAACCCGGAAGCGGAAGGGGCGAGATGTGTGGGCGGGGCTATCTCTGCTGCGTGCTCAGCGTCCCCCCCACCCCCAGGATGCCTCGACCCTGCGTCGCCGGAAGCCCCGCCCTCACCACGTCCGCCACCTGGGCGTGCGGACTGCGCGGATGCTCTGGGTGCGGGTGTAGACCGCAGGCGGGAGCGCTTGGGGACAGCTGCCTAGGGACAGCTGTTCCTTTGCAGACAAGTGAAAAGTAATGAGGCCTTATTCAGTGAAGTTGCCATGAATTATAACCTTAAGTATGCAGGCAGGTGTTATCAGGCCCCATTTGTATTTCGTCCAGATTCTGCAAGTGCGTGGGTGGAGGGAAAAGACATCAACCGCAGGTAGAAGCAAAGCTGATAACTTCAAGAAAATCATTCAGTTCAAACCTGAATTGAACGCTCGTCAAACTTCATTTCAAGACCGAAGTAAAAGAATTTTCATAGAAACACAAACCACCAAGGAACCTTTACTAAAGGGACGTCTGAATTAGTAGAGAGCAAGCTACCGTGACAGGCAGACCCAAAACAAATGGCTTAAATACGACAGACTTTTTTTTTTTTTTCCCTAACAACCCAGGACTGGTGGTGTTGAGGTCAGGTGTCCTCTGTGTTAAGGGACAAAAGCACATGTGAAAAAAGAAACTGGGCTTCACAGAAGTTACAAACTTGTGTTCCAAAGACACTCTCAAAATAGTGAAAGACACCCTCAGAATGAGAAAATTTCTTGCAAGTCATGCCTGTTAAAGGTCTTGTGTTTAGAATATGTAACAAACTCTTACAACACAGTGATAAAAGATAACCCAGCTAAAAAGGGCAAAGGGTTGAATATCCACTTCTCCATAGAGATACATAAATGTCTGAGAAGCCATAGTCATCAAGGAAATGTAAATCTAAGCTCCTCATACCTCCCAGGCTGATTATAATAAAAGAGCAGATAATAGGAAGCCTAGGGAAGGATGTGGAAAAGTTGGAACTCTTGTACTCTGCTGGCAGGAGTACAATGGTGGGGTCACTTTGTAGTTTTTTGGTTTTGTTTTTGGTTTCTTTTCTTTTGGTGCTGAGGTTCTGACCAGGGCTTTGCACATGCCAGGCAGGCTCTCTACCAGTGAGCTATGTTCACAGTCCCAGGTGTGAGCACTTTGGAAAGCAGCCTGACAGTTCCTCAAAAAGTTGAACACCAAACCCTTTGCTAGTTACATAAATGTATATGAACATTCTTAGCATTGCTCACAAATAGCCAAAAAAGTGGAAACAACCCAAATGTCCACCAGCTCATTAAGGATAAGTAAAACATTGTATATTGGTAAAATGGATCATTAGAACGTGTTAGAATATACAGTGGAGGCTGAGGGTGTAGCTGAGTTGTAGCATGCTTGCCTAGTGTGCACCAGGCTGGGTTCCATACCCAGCACTGCAACAAAACAACAATGACATATTATTTGGGGATGAAAAGTGACACACAGTACAACCTGGGTGAATCTTGAAAACATCATGCTCAGTGAAAACAGCCAGAGTCAGCTGGGCACTGGTGGTTCACACCTGTAATGCTAGCTACTCAGGAGGCAGAGATCAGGAGGATCACAGTACAAAGCCAGCCTGGGCAAATAGTTTGTGAGACCCTCAAAAACTCTCAAAAACCCATCACAAAAAAAAAAGAAAGAAAGGACTGGAGAAGTGGCTCAAGGTGTAGGCCCTGAATTCAAACCTCAAAAAAGAAAAGAAAGAAAAAGCTCGAGACAAAGTCCTCATATTGTCTGAATCTGTTTATGTGAAACATCCAGAATAAGCAAATCCACAGAGATAGTAAATAGGTTAAGGCTGGGCATGGTAGTACATGCTTGTAATCCCAGTACTCAGCAGGCTGAGATGGGAGGATTGCAAGTTCCAGGTCAGCCTGAGCCACACAGAGATGTTAGGTAGCAGTTAACCTTGAGTGATGGTTAGGTAGGGAAATTATTTTAAACACTAAAATAGGCAAACTCAGACATTGAAACTAGAAAGTAAAAACTAAAAAGCCAGAGCAACTAGCCACCCACTCTCATCTTCTTTCAGATTTTTTTTTTTTTTTTTGTGATACTGGGATTTGATTGCCGGGCCTCCAGCTTGCTAGGCAGGCACTCTACTACTTGAGCCACTCTGCCAGCCCTTTCTTATGTTGGGTATTTTCAAGGTAAGGTCTCTCGAACTGTTTGCCAGGGACTGGCTTTGAACAGAGATCCTCCTGATCTTTGTCTCCTGAGTAGCTAGGATTACAGGTGTGAGCCACCAGTGCTGGGCACCTTTTAGATGTTTAAGTTACAAGGACAGGGCTGTCTATGTTCCAGAGATATCTGCATCCTTTACATGTCTAGGAAATGAAAGTTCAAAAGCACAACTTTTGTCCCTGTAATTTGAGTAGGCCTGATGACAACTCCCTGTTTTAGCACCCATCTTAGTAACCCAGATCCAATATTGTAATGATCACAAGTATTCCTCCAGCTTGAGAATATTAAACTAGAGATAAGGACCACTATTTTGAGTCTTTACTCCCACTCCCTGCATGGAAGCAGGAAATGTTTGTCCCTTCCTACCACCATTCTCTTCACTTAAATTCCTTTCTTAATAAATTTACTATTATTTTTACTACATTTTCTCATGTTGCCTGAATTCTAACTTCAATGGATTCAAAAACTGAGATATACGTCACGTCAGTGCTAAACTTTCTGGTAAAAGTGAGACCAGATTAAAAACAAAAAAGCAACAACAACAAAGAAACACAAACTCTGTAGGGCCCAAAGTGACCACTCGGAGAGGAGTGATCTGGCCAAGAGATTCTTTATTGCTGGGTGGGAGAGGGAGAGAGCTGAGAGAGAGAGAGAGAGAGAGAGAGAGAGAGAGAGAGAGAGAGAGAGAGAGAGAGAAGGGCAAGGGCTTAAATACCCTCAATGAGACCTGGCATGATCTGATTGGTTAGGATCTTATGGTTCATGCTGATTGGAGGTTGGGGCAGAAGGAGGGTTCAAGCTAGACTTGAGGCTGGACTGTGACCCTGGGAAACAAAAGCTTAAGGGTGCAGTAAGAACTGAAACCTATCGGTGCCATTATTGCCAACATTCCTTCCTTTTTTGTTTGTTAAGGAAGAGGGGCGTTGTGTTCTTTCTGGCTTTTCGAGCTGGCAAGGGGTGGCGTAGGAGAAGGGAGGGTTGGTTGGCAAACAGTGTTGGGGTGGTAAGCCTCATGATGGCGTACACCAAGGATCTGAAAATGAAGATTTCCTCTTCCCTGAAGTTGATGAAGATCCCTTGCAGCCATAGGTCATAAAGAGTCTCAAGCCAATCCTCCGACCTCCGCATGGTGGGTATCAGCCAACTATTCTGGCATTTTGGAGAGGTTGGTGTCCCTGGAGGTACAACTGGTTAAACTTTTGATTAGCAATAGCAGAAGGAAGGGAACACAAGGGAGGAAGCTTAAGAATGGGACAGCAAGAACATAGCCATTAGGATGGTCATTGGCCAGGAGAACCACTGTGAAATGTTGTTCCCTAGACAATTTCAAGAATCCTCTAATTCCCTTCTCCATTTTCTAATTGTGTCTTGAGAGGTGCCGCCATTGGGGGAACCTATTGAGCTTGACAGCAGTGGGTGTCATGAGAATGACCAGATAAGGTCTGGTCCACCGAAGTCCCAATGGAGAGGGCAGAATATCCTTTTGGAGAACAAGATGCCCTGGTTTAACAGAAATTGTTATAGGGTGGGGCAGGATCTGCTTTGCATACTCTCTGAGAAGTTCCCTGAGAAGGCAGGTAGTCATCCAGAGGAGCAGAGTCTGTTGGAGGCAAGTTTTTCTAAGAGAAAGGGGTGGCCATACATTATCTAAGACCCAAATAGGAATATTAGGAGGAGCATAAAAAGGTGTCTGTTCAGGGACTACATACCTAGGAATCTAAATTCTGCAAAATCCTATAACTGCCAGGGAAGCTGTAAGCTGTCTTATAGTATGGGGGTTGGGAAATGGAAGATTGGGTTGATGCATTTATGACTCAGGGAGTGAGTCTGTCCCTTTAAGGCCACACCTAGGTAGGTGACCTGTGGGAGGCAGGGGCTGTCAGGATTTAAATGTAACACTCTTTGATAAAAGAGAGTTTAGCTCATTATTTTATATAAATTGACACTTTTAACCCTTAGGACACTCGAAGTTTTTATTATACACTTTTGAAACTTACTCAGACCTTCATACAACATACTAAACCCTTTTATGGTTTGTCCTTATCCTTCCTATTTGAAACAATCTTTAGGACAAACCCTTCTTTACAAAATCCCTTCTCATCCAAAAAACCATTCCTTTTTTCCTTTAACTTCTCAAAAAATACATTTATTACCTATCTATATCCTTTCCAGTTGTTTACTTTGTAACTTGTATTTTAAAATCAACTTTTATAAGAATTTTAAATTTATTGTAGGGGCTGGAGCAACTAATTAGTAGCCCTTATTGTTTTTAGGAATAGACATAAGGCCTCATCATCCCTCAGGCTTGAGGGGATATTGTTTTAGGTGTGGAAACTGTGAGGGATTTTTGAGTTTTATTTGAATAGGGAGGGCCGTCCTGGCTCACCCTACACTCATCTCATCAGTCCACTCTGTGGAATCTCTTTGTTCCTGAAGGAGGGGGCAGCAGAGATAGCTGCCTGGGGGAGGAGAATTTGAGCTTTTAATTGAGATAGTAAATCCCGTCCCAACAGGGACACTGGAGTTTTAGATACTATGAGGAAAGAGTGACAGAAGAGGAGGTCTCCCCAAGGCCAGAGGCCAGGCAAACTAGCGCTCTAGGGGCTGGCCAGATTTGTCCCGAATGATAACTTTTGTCATTGGACCAGGGACCAGGAGAAAAAGGTAAAACAGAGAGACAGGCTCCACTGTCTAGGAGGAAAATGACCTTTTGTTTTTCTGCCATTATGGCTCCTCAACATTGATGACCAG